CCTCTTGGGCTATTTTGGGGGCCTCTTGGCAACATCTTGGGCCGTCTTGGGGCGGTCTTGGGGGCCTCTTGGACCGTCTTCAACGCCATGAAAGGCGAAAAGCCGTATATGCTAAATATGCACGGTTTCCATCAGAAAATCAATGATTTTGGCTTCTTGGGGCCCTCTTGGGACGCCTCGTGGGCGCCTCCTGGAGCGTCGTGGAGGCCTCTTGGGACGTCTTGGGGCCGCCTTGGGCGGTCTTGGGCTCTCTTGGAGCGCTCTTGGGCTGTCTGGGGCGCTTCTTGGGCCGTCTTGGGCCGTCTTGGACGCCGTCTTGGCCGCTTCTTGGGCTGTCTCAGGCGCCTACGACGGCCCAAGAAGCGCCCAAGAAGCGTTCGCCGATGATGTCTCGAGCGAAACGTTGTTTTTTAAACCCCGAAGGCCGTCCTACTCGATAAAAAACGAAGCGGGAGGGCAATTAGATCTCGGGCGTCGCGATGCCAACCCCCTCGAATTCCCCCAAGTCCTATTTCTTCGACTAACGGACCGCACGCTAACGCGCGCTTTCCGTCATCTACGCGCGGTTTACCGACCCCCCGTGTTACTTTCCCCACTAACAGATCGCGTCGCTGCGTGCGCCTTCCGTCATCTGGGCCCGCGGCTGCCTTCTCCCCCCCTTGGTATGTCTCCCGACTAACGGATCGCGATGCTACGCGCACGTTCCGTCATCCGCCGCCCCCTGTCGATTTATCACTGGGGTGCCTGGCGTGCTGAATCCTATACGGCTTTGTGTTGTTCCCCAAACAGCTTGCTGAACGGGGTGCTGTTGTGATAGAAGCTAACTCGGGAGCGGCAAAGAGGGGGGTGTCCAAGAGGGGGGGGTGCAAATCATGACCGGCGGCATGTGCGCGGCCCAGCGGGGGGGCCAGGGACGTAATGAAATAAGTAGGGGCGCCATGAAATCCGGGGAGATATCATGGCCCCCGCCATGATATCCACCCCCCCCTAGTCATCACCCCCCTCTTTTCCGCCCCCGACTTATTCCGGCCGAGGGAAGTCGGAGCAGAGACATCCTCACAAAAAATTTGATGGTCTGGGCCGTTTCGCTTGAGACATCCTCACAACTCTCGTTTCTGAGTTGGCCGGGATTGGCCGTTTCGCCTGAGACATCCTCCAAAAGTTGCGCTCCGGGACGCCGCGCGAGAGGTGGTCCGGGCCGTTTCGCTTGAGACATCCTCAAAATCTGAGCCCCGAGGTGCCGTGCGAGAGGTGGTCCGGGCCGTTTCGCCTGAGACATCCTCGAAACTCTAGCTTTGAGATGCCTTGCGCGAGGTGGTCTGGCCCGTTTCGCCTGAGACATCCTCGAAACTCTAACCTCGGAGATGCCGCGCGAGAGGTGGTCTGGCCCGTTTCGCCTGAGACATCCTCGAACTTCTGAGCTCTGAGATGCCCTGCGCGAGGTGGTCCGGCCCGTCTCGCCTGAGACATCCTCGCAACTCTGAGCTCTGAGATGCCGTGCGTAAGGTGGTCCGGCCTGTTGCGTACAAGACATTCTCGCAACTCTGAGCTCCCAGATGCCGCGCAAGAGGTGGTCCAGCCTGGGGGCCCAGAAAACCACATGTTACATATCCCCCCTGGGACCCTGGGAGCCCCAGGAGGCCCCAGAGAGCTCCAGGAGGCCGCAGGACGCCCAGGACAGGCCCCAAGTGTCCGCAGGAGATTCCCAGGAGGCCCCAGGAGGCCCCCTATCAGAACGTGTCAAGGTAATACACATCCGGTGTCGATTCGTTGATTTTTCCTGCTCTTGTGCCCCCCACTTTCATTTTGAGGGGCCCAATCGGCCACAGGTTAGATATCCCCCCTGGGAGCCCCAAGAGGCTTCAGGAAACCCCAGGTGGAGTTCAGTAGGCCACAGGAGGCCCAGGAGGAAGCCCCAGGAGGTCACCAGGAGGCCCCAGGAGGCACCAGGAGGCCCCCGCAACTCGGAGCTCTGAGACGCCGCGCTCGAGGTGGTCCGGCCCGTTTCGCCTGAGACTTCCTCGCAGCACGTTTCGCCCGAGACACCGGCCCGTCTCGCCTGGGACATCCTTGCAACTCTGAGCTCTGAGATGCCGTGCGCAAGTTGGTCCGGCCCGTTTCGCACAAGACATTCTCGCAACTCTGAGCTCCCAGATGCCGCGCAAGAGCGCAAGAGGTGGTCCAGCCTGGGGGCCCAGAAGACCACATGTTACATATCCCCCCTGGGAGCCCCAGGAGGAGGCCCCAGAGAGCTCCAGGAAGCCGCAGGACGCCCAGGACAGGCCCCAGGGGGGAACAAGAGATTCCCAGGAGGCTCCCAGGAGGCTCCCAGGAGGCCCCCTATCAGAACGTGTCAAGTTAATACACAACCGGTATCGATTCGTTGATTTTTCCTGCTCTTGTGGCCCCCCCACATTTTGGGGGGCCCGGACGGCCACATGTTAGATATCCCCCCCTGGGAGCCCCAAGAGGCTTCAGGAAGCCCCAGGTGGGGTCCAGGAGGCCACAGGAGGCCCAGGAGGAAGCCCCAGGAGGTCACCAGGAGGTCCCAGGAGGCCCCAGGAGGCCCCCGCAACTCGGAGCTCTGAGACGCCGCGCTCGAGGTGGTCCGGCCCGTTTCGCCTGAGACTTCCTCGCAGCACGTTTCGCCCGAGACATCGTCGCAACTCTGGGGTCCGAAATGCCGCGCGCGAGGTGGTCCAGCCCGTTACGCTGGAGACATCCTCGCAACTCTGGGCTCCGAGATGCCATTCGGGATGAAGAGGAGGTGGAGGAGGAGGAGGAGGAGGAGGAGGAGGAGGAGGAGGCATGTTTTAACATGCCATGCCAGCCCGCACTGGACGGGCACGCAATCGACCTTGGAAACCGCAATGGGTCTAAAAACCCTGTTTGGGGATACTGCACTCCGGCTATAATTTTTTCAGAAGAACTCCCCCTGGGGCTTCGGCCTAGCGCGCCGGCCACCTGGAAGGCTATTCCAGAGGTAGTTGCAAACGTTTTTCCCGCTCCAGATGGCTCCAAGATGGCCCAAGATGGTCTCCAAGACGGCCAAGATGGCCCTCAAGTTCGCCCAAGATGGCCCAAGAGCGTCCCATCTCCAAGTTTGCCCAAGAAGCCTCCAAGACGGCCCGAGATGACGGAAGACGGCCCAAGAAACCCCCAAGAGGCCTCCAAGACGGCGAAAAAGGCCTCCAAGAGGTCCCCCAGGAAGGCCCCACGAGGCCACAATCATTCATTTTCCTTAGGTGTTCGAAGGATTTTGGCATTTGCTTCTTTTCCGCCTTCGGACGGCCCAGGACGGCCTTAGAGGCCCCCGAGATCGCCTCAAGATGGCCCAAGAGGCCTCCAGGATGGCCCCAGAACGGCCCAAGAGGCCCCCCAGACAGCCCCAAGACTACCCAAGAGGCCTCCACGACGCCCAAGATGGCCTCCAAAACGGCCCTGGAGGGAGCACCCCAAGAGGGCCCAAGTCGGCCCAGAGGGGCCCCCAAGACGGCTTTCGACGGCGTCAGACGGGCCAGGAATGCTTTAACCGAGAAGGCCCCAAAGGCCCCCAAGAGGCCCAAGGAGGCTCCCAAGATGCCTCCAAGAGGCTCCCAGGAAGCCCCAAGGAGATCACAAAAGTGCCCCCTGAGGCTTCCAAGATGCCCCGCCGCCTCCTTCTCCTCCTCTTATTCCTCCTCCTCCTCCTCTTCCTCCCCTTCCTCCTCCTCCTGATCTTCCCCGCCATCCTCTCCCAAGTTTTCCCCGAAGGGTTTCCACAACGGCTGGGAGAGCACATAGCCTGATAGCGTGGCAGAGCTCTTGCCACAACGCTCGGCCACATGGGCGATTCTAAAAGGCAGGGGGCGGCGGTGATTCGCCGTAGGCGTCTTCGATAATCGAGCGGGATCCGTTGTCGTCGTAATTGGGTCTTTGCCAACTTGGCTGATTTACGCAGAATTTTCGAGCGAAAGCCTCGTTCCTGAATTTGGGGGGCCTCTCCGGCCACGGCGCCTCGGAGCAAATTGAAAGACGGTGTCGAGCGGGAGCCGCTGTCGTCGTAGCTTGGCCTCCACTTCCCCACGTCTGGAGCGGAGCCCACGCTCGAGCGGGAGCCTCGTTTTCAAGGAAAGTGCAGCCGGCGCCTTGGCGAGAGCGCCCAGAGCCGCTTCCGTGGATTAGCATGAGGAGGAGGAGGAGGAGGAGGAGGAGGAGGAGGAGGAGGAGGAGGAGGAAGTGGAGGAGGAGTAGGAGGAGGAGGAGGAGGAGGAGGAGGAAGGTCCCCTGGGCCCGGCGAGGGCCCTCGGAGGCAGAGAACGGCCAACAACCCTCGACCTGCAACTTTCGCACCTTCCGCACGGAAGGTGCCGCTGCAGTGCGGCCGCGGCAGCGCGGCACCTGCCGCGCGGAGGGTGCGGAAGGTGCAAGTCGAGGGAGCAAGCAGGCTTTCCGCAGAAGGCGTCTGTACACACCACCACCGTGCCTGGCCAGGGCCATCTCTCTTGACCAGTTCTCTTGAGGGCCATCTCTCTCTCTCTCTCTCTCTTTGGCCGCGTGCCGCACAAGGGGGTAAGGGGGAGAGGGGAAGGCTTCTTACGACGAGGAGGCTGCTGCTCAGAAGGTGCTGGCCTTGCATCCACTGACGAGGCCCGCGCCTGCTGAGCGGCAGGGGTGCTTCTAAGAAGCCTGGCCCCCTCCCCCTCTGCGCGTGACTGATCTCCGAGGCCCTGCACCCCTCCGAGCACTCTGGCCTGGTCGAGGGCCTTCGGCACGAGCATCCGACGACGACGACGAGCGGCGAGGACGACGCCGACGGCGACGGCGACAGCAACGACGACGGCGGCGACGGCGACGACGACGACGACGAGTTCGAGGACGAGGACGAGGACAAGGACGAGGACGAGGACGAGGACGAGGACGAGGACGACGACGACGACGAGGACGAGGACGACCACGGCGACGACGACGACGGCGACGACGACGACGACGACGACGACGACGGCGGCCCCCCCGCGCGCCGGGACTGCGGCGAGCGCGCCGGGCGCCAACCCCGCCGCCGGGCTGTTGCCCAGCGGGCCCGGGGGGCGCGGCAGGCGGCGGAACTCCTGCGACGGCACCGCGACGACGACGATCAGGACGAGGACGACGACGGCGAGGACGACGACGAACACCACGACGACGACGACGAGAACGATGACAACGACGACGACGACGACGGCGGCGACGACGACGGCGACGACGAAGACGACGACGACGAGGACGACGACGACGACGACAACGACGACGAGGACGACGACGACGACAAGGACGACGACGGCGACGATGAGGACGATGACGACGACGACGAGGACGATGACGAGTTACGACGACGATGACGACGACAACGACGAGAATGAGGACGAGGACGAGGACGAGGGCGACGTCGACGACGACGGCGACGATGGCAGGCGGCGGAACTCCTGCGATCGCACCACGACGATAAGGACGAGGACGAGGGCGACGACGACGACCATGACGACGATGACGACAACGATGACAATGAGGACGACGACGACCACAACGACGATGAGGACGACGACGACGGTGATGACGACAAGGGCGAGGACGACGCCGACGCCGCCGCCGCCGACGACGACGACGATAACGACGACGACGACGACGACGACGACGGCGACGACGACGACGACGACGACGACGGCGGCTGCGACGATGACAATGAGGACGACGACGACGACGACGACGAGGACGACGAGGACGACGAGGACGAGGACAACGACGACGACGACGAAAAACGGCACCACGACAACGAGGGCGAGCGCGACGACGACAACGACGACAACGACGACGACTACGATGACAGAGATGATGATGAGGAGGACGACGACGACGACGACGAGGACGACGACGATGAGGATGACGACGAGGACGAGGACGAGAAAACGACAACGACAAGGACAAGGACGACGACGACGATCATGACGACGACGACGACGGCGGCGACGACGGCAGGCGGCGGAACTCCTGCGATGGCACCACCACGACGAGGACGAGGACGACGACGACGATGACGACGACGAGGACGAGGACGACGACGAGGACCAGGACGAGGACGAGGACAAGGACGAGAACGACGACGACGACGACGATGACGACGCCGACGACGACGGCGGCGCCGACGGCGACGGCGACGGCGACGGCGACGGCAACGGCGACTGCGACGGCGACGATGAGGACGAGGACGAGGACGACGACGAGGACGACGAGGACGACGACGACGACGACGACGACGACGACGACGACGACGACGACGACGACGACGACGACGACGACGACGACGGCAGGCGGCGGAACTCCTGCGACGGCACCACGGCGTTCGGGGTCCCGTGCGCGACCACCCGCCCGTGAGAGAGCACCAGCACCTCCTCGGGGATCCCCAGACATGCAGAATTCCGAAAAAATCGTGACTGAGGGTTTTCGGCGTTTTCGGCCTCCCGGGGCCCTCACCATGCAAAATCTTGCAAGAATCAGAACGGAGGGTCTTCGGGATCTTCGGCCTCTCGGGGCCCTTACTGGGCACCAGAGCCGTCAACGAACGACTCAAGATGAAAAGCCGGTCCCGGGGAACAGGATCGGGACCTCTTGGGGGCTCCGCACTGAACAATCAGGGGTTATCGCACGTCTGGGTCCAGCGTCCTTCTTTTCTCAATGCGGGGCACCGGGGCCGGCTTTTGATCCTCTGGCGGCCCCGGGGCCCGACAGTTCTCAATGCGGGGCCCCATCGGAGTCCCGATGCGTTCCCCTGGCGGCCGGCAGACGCCGGCGGGCGCCTGGGCCCTATCCCCATCCCTCTCGTGCTCCCATTCGTACTCATCCCCATCCTGCTCCTTCTCCCCCTCTCTGCATTCTCCTCCTCCTCCTCCTCCACCTCCTCCGCCTCCTCCTCCTCCCTCCTCCTCCTCCTCCTCCTCCTCCTCCTCCTCCTCCTCCTCCTCCTCTCCTCCTCCTCCTCCTCCTTCTCCCCCTCGCATTCTCCTCCTCCTCCTCCTCCACCTCCTCCGCCTCCTCCTCCTCCTCCTCCTCCTCCTCCGCCTCCTCCTCCTCCTCCTCCTCCCTCCTCCTCCTCCTCCTCCTCCTCCTCCTCCTCCTCCTCCTCCCCCATCCGCCCCAGTCCTCAAAGGCCGCCGCCAGCTGGTCGTCCGCCGGGACAACGGCCACGCAGGCGCGGCCCCGCATCAGGGGGTCCGCCAGCAGGCGCTCCCAGGCGCGCCTGCCCGCCGCCGCGCCCGCGGCGCCGAGGAGCCCGTCGTCCACCAAGACAACGCCCGCGCGGCTGTACACCGCCCGGGCGATCGACACGCGGGCCCCGTACGCCGGCGCGGCGCCCTACGCAGAGATCCGAGGATGTAATGTGTGAGGCGTTACAGCCTAGCCTTCGAGATCCCAGAGAGGGCCTCGCCTTCGAGGATAGAAGGAGATGTCGTCTCTTCCTCGGCGGAGGGAAGAAGGACGGCCGGCGGAAGGCGGCGGAAGGACAACGAGGCCGCCTGCGCCAGCGGAAGGTGGCGGAAGGCCGGCGGAGATAACAGCCGGCCTCCCAAGAGATGGTCAGGTTTCTGGGGGCCAGGGCTCTCGGAACCCGCAACGTGTTCAAGCCGGCGGCGCTTCCTGCGTCTCGGCCTCCAGGGCCCGTGGTGGGCCCCAGGGGGCCAGCAAAAAGGGATCCGGGGCGAAAAATCGGTCGCGGACCTCTGCAGGGGCCGCGGATCGGTGGAGGAGGAGGAGGAGGAGGAGGAGGAGGAGACGGAGACGGAGGAGGAGGAGGAGGAGGAGGAGGAGGAGGAGGAGGAGGAGGAGGAGGAGGAGACGGAGACGGAGACGGAGACGGAGGAGGAGGAGGAGGAGGAGGAGGAGGAGGAGGAGGATGGATGGGACAGCATCAAAGAGGCCCTGGCGGAGGAGGAGGAGGAGGAGGAGGAGGAGGAGGAGGAGGAGGAGGAGGAGACGGAGGAGGAGGAGGAGGAAGGGAGGGCCCGCCGCCCACACGCCAGAAAGCCGCGCGGCTTCCAGGGGCCGCGAGGGGGGCCAGCTCCAAGGGCGCAGGCCGGTGCGGGGAGTGGGGGGGGGGGGGCATGCGGCCCAGAAATCTGCCCATGCGGCCAAAGTCCCCGACGTCCAGATGCTTTTTCATGGCACGGACACCCAGCGGTCTGGACCCATTCCTCGGGACTGGCTTTTCATCCCCCAATTCGTTTTTACTTGACGGTCCCGAGGGCGTGCAAGGGCCCCGAGGGGCAGACAATAGACAATATCGATAAACCTCCCGCCATATTTTTTTCATGACCCTACGGGGTCTGGATGGCCCTGGACCTGCACCTTCCGTCCCTTCCGCGCGGAAGGCGCAGCTGCGATACGGCCTCGACGGTGGCCGCCGCTGCGGCCGCGGCGGCGGCCGCGGCAGCGCCGCACCTGCTGCGCGGAAGGTGCAGGTCGAAGGGGCCAGCGCCAATTGAGCAGGGACCGACCGTCCCGGCCTTCCTATAGGCCTACCACGACATGTTCTTAGAACCCTACAATGTTCTAAGAACGAGCGCAATGCTCCCAAAACGTAAACGCGATGTGCTAAAACAAGACAGCCTCAGCCAGAAATGTTCCGAGAACATGTCGTGCAGACCACAACGGGCTCTTAGACATCCTTTGGTGGGCCTGTCGTCGGGGGCGCGAGAACATGGATTAGCGATCCATGGATTTGGCGCGCGGTCGCCAAACCCATGGATCGGGGGGGGAAAAGCGCCCTCCCCAACATGCGGCCGGTGCCGCCTCGTTGGGCGGCGGACGTCCGCGACGTCCCATGGAAGCGGGGCCCCGTCGCTGACCCACGCCCCCCTTGATCCCTGTCTGCGATCGCCTGATATAGGCGAACCAGGAGGACGAGGAGGAGGAGGAGGAGGAGGAGGAGGAGGAGGAGGAGGAGGAGGAGGAGGAGGAGGAGGAGGAGACGGAGGAGGAGGAGGAGGAGGAGGAGGAGACGGAGGAGGAGGAGGAGGAGGAGACGGAGGAGGAGGAGGAGGAGGAGGAGGAGGAGGAGGAAGAACCCCGGCGACGGGGCCACTGCTCAAAATTCGCGCCGCCGACCCCGGCGGGCCGGGCCTCGCTGCCCGGGGTGAGCCCCGCGGCGGCCAGGGCGGCGTGGTACCGCCCCTCCTCCAGCGGCGCGCCGCACAGCACGTTGTCCTGGAGCGAGCCGCGCAGCAGCCACGGCGGGGCGGCGCAGTGCGCCGCGCGCCCACAGGCCAGCGTGGCCTCGTCGGGCGACGAAAGCCATACCTGGACCTGCACCTTCCGCCCCTTCCGCGCGGGAGGCGCAGCTGCGATGCGGCCGCGGCCGGCCGCCGCGGCCGCATCGCAGCTGCTTCGGCGGTGGCCGCCCGCTGCGGCCGCGGCGGCGGCCGCGGCAGCGCCGCACCTGCCGCGCGGAAGGTGCGGAAGGTGCAGGTCGAGGGCATCTACTGCTCCCTGGCCCGCCCTCACCCCAGCATCGGTGTGCACGCCGCGCCCGCCTGCCTTGGCCAGGGGGGCGCACACACAGCTCCTGGGCACTGGGCCTGGCCAGGGAGCCATGGCTACGCCTATCGAGTTCGCCGCCCGACCTCGGCACCCGGGGCCGGGTGGAGCTCGCCCAGCATCGCCAGCAGGAGGCTGGTCTTGCCCGAGCCGGCGTCCCCCACGACGGCGACGCGGGCGCCCCTCTCGACGTCCAGCTCCAGCCTGTGGAGGGCCGCTGGCTGGTCAGGGCACCGCGAGAAGGAGCCCCGGAGCCGCACCGCGGCCGACGGCTGGCCGCCCTGCGGGGCGGGGCCGTCTTGCAGCAGGCGCTGCGGCAGCGCCTCTGGCGCCAGCAGGAACACCTCGATCCTGCGCAGCGAGACCAGGAGTGCCGGCAGCCTCCTCGCGCGGGTGGCCGACGAGTCCACCAGGTGCTTGAGGTTCGCCACCACCTGCATGCACACGAAGATGGTGCGCGCGCTGACGTCTCCAGCCAGCTGGGCGTGCACGGAGAGCGTGCAGCAGACGATCAACCTGGGCAGGGCGAAGACCACAGCGCCGAGGCAGCCCGCCATGACGAGCAGCGCAGTGAGGCGTGCGAGCTCCTGGGCCCTGGCCGCCACGAGCCCAGCCTCCGGAGGGCGCGAGGCCCCCGGAGTCCGGGGCGCGCCCAGCACCTCCTTCTGGGCGGCGCGCCGCACGGGGGTATATGTAGGGGGGAGGGGGGAGAAGGCTTCCTTCTCGAGGGAGGCTGCTCCGTGGACGGCGCCGGCCCTGCAGCTGTGGATGCGGGGGCGGGCGCCTGCCAAAGAGAGGCAGCCTCCTCCAGAGAAGCACTCCCCCCCCCCCTCTTCCCCCCCCCCCTGCCATCACTCGGACGCCCCTTTCCCGTGCATCTTTCGGCGTCGTGCGTGCTTTTTATTTTCGCGAGGGTCCAGGAGCGTCCTCGATGGTTCTCGCCGAGAAAAGACTGCACACGTCCGAGCGACCCGCTGCGCGCGGCCGACCTTCAGCAGCGACATCCGCAGGTCCGCCTGCGCCTGGACTGCGCGGGCGGCCCTCGGCAGCCGCCAGAGCAGCACCGCCGCCAGCGCGAGCACCGGCGTGGCGCCCAGGGCGCCGATCAGCACCGAGGCGCCCACCTCGCGCCAGAGCATGCATCGGGTCGGGCGAAAGGGGGGGATGGCAAAGGGGGGGGTTGAGAATCAGCTCGCGCAGCTGACTTTCCCGGAGCCTCCCGGCGCCGGAGGCGGCCATGTATCGAGGAATGGGCCCCTCGGTGAGGCCAAAAAACCAGCTGCACGCAGCAACTTTCGTGACCCCCCCTTTCCCAATCCCCCCCCCATTCGCCCGGCCCGAATGTGGGCCAGGGTGGCCACCAGAGGCACGGTCAGGCACAGCGTGCAGAGGGAGCTGCACCAGCCGCGGAGGTTTACCTTGACGTCCACGGGCAGCAGGTGCACCGCGCGCAGGCCGGCGCCGCAGCCGTCGGGCACGGGCTCGCCCCCACATGCTGCCGCGCCCGGCGGCGAGGTCGAGGGCAGCCGCTGCGCCTTCTGGTGCACCGCCAGGGTCAAAGCGGCGTCCACCCGCATGTCCACGCGGGCCTCGTCGGGAGAAGAGGAGGACACTGTGAGCGCAGGTGCAGCCGTGGGTTCCTACATGCCGGGCCTCTTGACCAGAAGAGGCAGCCTCTGTGGAGACGCGCGCAGCCGTGAGTCCCTACATCTTGCCCCCCTGCCCTTCCTCCCCCCCACCGGGCTCGACACACATATGCAGAGAAGGCGTCGGCAGACACGTCATGGAGAGGGCGTCTCTCTTTGACCTCCCCGAGCCTCGAGGAGCCATGCCAGGCACTGCAGCAATGCCGCGGCCACTGGGGCGACAGAGAAGAGGCAGATTGCCATGAGGCACGGCACCAGATTGTCTGGCTGCGCGTGCGGGCTCTGTTCTCCCGCGGCCGCGACCCTCTCCAGAAGCTGAAGGCACACCTCCACCGCCAGCACCACGACCACGAAGCGCAGCGCAGAGAGGGCACTCACGGCGACAGAGATGCCAGAGGAACAGAAAGGCTGCATGGGCATACCCCGGACCTGCCCCTTTCACACCTTCCGCGCGGAAGGCGCAGCTGCGATGCGGCCGCAGCGGCCGCTGCGGCCTCGACGGTGGCCGCCGCTGCGGCCGCGGCGGCGGCCGCGGCGGCGCGGCACCTGCCGCGCGGAAGGTGCGGCAAGTGCAGGTCGAGGGCAGCTCTGAAGGTTAAGCTCCTTTCAAGGCGGGGATTTATCCATATCCACCGCCTGGGAACTGACGTCCTGGTGCCCTGGCGGGCGGTGGACACAGATATACAGTTCGGCCCCCGGGGGCCCGAATATGTCCAGATCCGCCGCCTGCCGAGGCTCCGAAAACTGACCCTCCAGGAGGTGGTCATGTACCCAGACATGCGACGTCCTGATTTTTTCAGGACGGCGTCCCTGGACGTCCCGACCCTTTCCCCGAGACCGGTTTTTGTCCAGAATCGTTGTTTGACGGTCCCGAGGCCCGGCGAGGGCCTCCCGGGGCCGAAAATAGCGAAAAACCTCCCGCCCTGATTTTCTTATTTACGACGCCACCATGCCCAGGTACAACCTCCCGCCTCGGACTCCCGGCCTTTCCTGCCCTTCGGGATGCCGGCGATCTTCTGCCAGCCGACGAAGCGCAGCAGGGCGCGGCGCAGCGCGCGGCCCGCGGGGGCCGCGCGGGGGCCGCCGGCGGGGCCGGCGGGCGCCGGGCCGCCGCCGCGCTGCAGCTCCGCCCGCCAGAGGCGCTCGAAGCGGGCGTGGCAGGCCTGGGGCGCGTCGTCGGGGTGCGCCTCGCGGCCGCGCGCACGCACGCAGCTCTTTGGATGGATGCGGCAGCGTCGTCGTCGTCGTCGTCGTCGTCGTCGTCGTCGTCGTCGTCGTCGTCGTCGTCGTCGGCGTCGTCGTCGTCGTCGTCGTCGTCGTCGTCGTCGTCGTCGTTGCCGTCGTCGTCGTCGCCGTCGTCGTCGCCGCAGCTTGCACGCACGCACGAAGCAGCCTGGATGGAGGCGGGAGCGTCGTCGTCGCCGCCGTCGTCGCCGTCGTCGCCGCCGTCGTCGCCACCGTCGTCGTCGTCGTCGCCGTCGTCGTGGTGGTGGCGGTCGTCGTCGTGGTGGAAAAACCACGACGGCAAGCGTTTCGCTGTTTTCGAGCTCCAGGGAGCCCTTACCGGGCCTCGGAACCGTCAACAAATGACTCAGGATGAGAGACCGGTCCAGGGAAATGGGTCGGGACCTCTTGGGGTCGACGCTATGAAAAAATCATGACGTCGGGGGGCTCGCACGCACGCAGCTTTGAATGGAGGCGGGAGCGTCGTCGTCGTCGTCTTCGTCGTCGTCGTCGTTCGTCGTCGTCGGCGTCGTCGTCATTGTCGTCCGCGTCGCCGCCGTCGCCGTCGTCGCCGTCGCCGTCGCCGACGCCGTCGCCGTCGCCGTTGCCGTCGCCGTCGCCGCCGTCGTCGCCGTCGTCGTCGTCGTCGTCGTCGTCGTCGTCGAGGCGTCGTCGTCGAGGCGTCGAGGCGTTTGGGTTTTGGGCGTTGCTGGAGGCTCTTTTCGTGACGCGGCCCGCCTGGCGGATGCACGCGCGCAGAAACCCGCATGCATGCAGCCCAGAGTGGAGGATGCTGGGGCTGGAGGTGGAGCAAGGTGGTGGTAGTGCCCGTACCCAGCCCCTGCTCGTATCCGGGGGAACCGGCAGGTACCGATACCGCTGGACCCCAGACCTCTCCAGGGTGCGTTCCGACCAGGACTTCGAGGCGAATGAGACGATGGCGAAGCGGGCCTCCCAGGAGGCCCCCAACCAATGGGAACCGAGAGAAGAGCAGCGGTACGGGTACCTATCGACTGTTTGGTGCTCGGCTCAACCCACGAGCGGCGGCCAGCGCTCACCCCTGCAGGAGGCCCGACGACACGAGGAGGAGGAGGAAGGGGAGGAAGAGGAGGTAGAACGAGGAGGAGGAGGGAGAGGAGGAGGAGGAGGAGGAGGATAGAGAGGAGGAGGAGGAGAGGGAGGAGGAGGAGGAGGGAGGAGGAGGAGGAGGAGGAGGAGGAGGAGGGGAGGGAGGAGGGAGAGGAGGAGGAGAGGTGGAGGAGGAGGAGGAGGAGGAGGAGGAGGAGGAGAGGAGGAGGAGGAGGAGGAGGAGGCGACCCGACATCACGACAGCGTAAGCAGAAAAGAAAGGAGGGAGCCGACGACAGGGCCCGCCGGGCGCGGCGGGGGCAGCACGCGCGCACGCGGCGTCGTCGTCTTCGTCGTCGTCGTCGCCGTCGCCGTCGTCGTCGCCGTCGCCGTCGCCGTCGCCGCCGTCGCCGTCGCCGTCGCCGCCGCCGCCGCCGCCGTCGCCGCCGTCGTCGTCGTCGTCGCCGCCGCCGTCGTCGTCGTCGTCGTCGTCGTCGTCGTCGTCGTCGTCGTCGTCGTCGTCGTCGCCGTCGTCGTCGTCGTCGTCGTCGCAGAGGAAGGGGCCGAGGACGGGGCCCGCCGGGCGCGGCGGGCGGAGCCTCCCGAGAGGGGCGCGAGCGGCAGCGGGAGGCTCCGAGCCGCGGCTGGCGAGGAGGAGGAGGAGGAGGAGGAGGAGGAGGAGGAGGAAGAAAAGGTCGAGGAGGAGGAGGAGGAGGAGGAAGAGGGCGAGGAGGTGAAGGCGGAGGCGGAGGAGGAGGAGGAGGAGGAGGAGGAGGAGGCGGAGGAGGTGAAGGAGGAGGAGGAGGAGGAGGAGGACTTGTGCAAACCCAAGAGTCATCAACGGCATTGGGATCAACCCTCCCCCCAAAGCTGCCTCTCCATAGGTCCCTACAACGGTTCATTTCCATTGAAGGACCTGCCTCGTTGGAAGGCAACCGTTTGAAGACCTTGAAACATGCAAAAAAATTGTTCTCGGGTGTCCACGCCACGGATCACCCTGACTGCTGCGTCCTGACGATCTGGAATCATGCCAGAACGCCATTTTTGGGACTTCAACACCGCGAATCAACATAATTGTTGCACCTGCATAATCCTGAATCCTTCCCCAACACCTTGTCTGGTACGTTGATCATGGGAATCCGTGAAACTCGTGCAACTTGTTAAAACGAATGTGCGCGGCGCTAAGGCGAGAGCCATATGTTGAAAACCACCCGCCCTCAATCCGTGAAACTCGTGCGTTTATTTTAACGATGTCCGCGGCGCTAAGGCGAGAGCCACATTTTGAAAAAGAGCCGCCCTCAATATGTGAAACTCTTGCGATTGTTAAAACGAATGTGCGCGGCGCTAAAGCGAGAACCGCATTTTGAAAACCACCCGCCCTCAATCCGCAAACATCTTGCACATGTTGAAAACGAATGTGCGCAGCGCTACATAACGCGAGAGCCACATTTTGAAAACGACCCGCCCTCAATCCGCACAAATCTTGCAAACTTATGAAACGAATGTGCGCGGCGCTAAGGCGAGAGCCACATTGTGAAAACCACCCGCCCTCAATACGCAAACATCTTGCAAATTTACAGAACGAAGGTGCACGGCGCTAAGGCGAGAGCCATATGTTGAAAACCACCCGCCCTCAATCCGTGAAACTCGTGCGGATGTTTTTACCTAACAGCGAAGACTGATAGGTTTCTAGTAGGGTCAAAAGAGAGCATCATGACTCCCCAAGGGGGTCTGGGCGGGATCCGGGCGGGTGCTGCGGAAAATCGGGGATCCGCGCCTGATATGGGGGAACTCAGTCGGGGGTGCCGTGAGTGCCCGCCTGATATGGGGGAACTCAGTCGGGGGTGCCGCGGGTCCACGCCTGATATGGGGGAACTCAGCTGACGGGTGCCGCGGGTGCTTGCCTGATATGGGGGAACTCAGTCGGGGGGGCCGCGGGTGCACGCCTGATATGGGCGAAGTCAGTCGGGGGTGCCGCGGGTCCACGCCTGATATGGGGGAGCTCAAGCGAGGCTGAGGCTGAGGCTGCGGCTGAGGCTGAGGCAGGCTGAGGCAGACGCTGAGGCAGGCTGATGCATCCGAAAGCCCATGAGCAGTGAGGAGGAGAGATGCCTCCTGTCGAGCGCTGAGGCAGGCTCAGGCTGAGGCAGGCTGAGGCTGAGGCCGAGGCTGAAGGCAGATTGAGGCTGAGGCTGAAGCAGGCTGAGGCTGAGGCTGAGGCAGGCTGAGGCTGAGGCTGAGGCAGGCTGATGCGGAGGCAGGCTGAGGCTGAGGCCGAGGCTGATGCAGGCTGAGGCTGCGGCAGGCTGAGGCTGAGGCCGAGGCTGAAGGCAGACTGAGGCTGAGGCTGAAGCAGGCTGAGGCTGAGGCTGAGGCAGTCTGAGGCTGAGGCTGACGCAGGCTGATGCTGAGGCAGGCTCAGGCTGAGGCTGAGGCTGAGGCAGGCTGAGGCGGAGGCAGGCTGAGGCTGAGGCCGAGGCTGAAGGCAGACTGAGGCTGAGGCTGAATCAGGCTGAGGCTGAGGCTGAGGCAGGCTGAGGCTGAGGCTGAGGCAGGCTGATGCTGAGGCAGGCTGAGGCTGAGGCTGAGGCTGATGCAGGCTGAGGCTGAGGCCGGCTGAGGCTGAGGCCGAGGCTGAAGGCAGACTGAGGCTGAGGCTGAAGCAGGCTGAGGCTGAGGCAAAGGCAGGCTGAGGCTGAGGCTGAGGCAGGCTGAGGCTGAGGCAGGC